AGACAGCTGCAGACCTCGAAGTCCGATGACGGGGAGGGCGTCCAGAATTGGCATTACCAGACGCTCCAATAGGTTTCCCGGATGGAGGCCCCCGAACACCACCGGTGATTGGCCCGCCGATCAAATCCTCTGCAACCGTCTCCCCCCCCGGTTACTTGCCTCTTTTTCCTCCCCCAACGAGTGACCTCCGCCCAGGAAGCGCCCCCACAGGAGGCCTAAGCATCAGCATCGGAACGAGTAACACTCCGGCCAGCTAATAACGGAGGACGCAGTTGGATGTTCTCCACAACACGAGGAAGAGCTCTCTCCCGGCCCGGCTCCTTTGAGAAGAGTCTCTGACGAATATCCGCGATATCACTGCGAATCTCGAGAAGCGTCTTCAGTTCTTTTACGATTTTTTCTTCACAGTCGTTTAATTGAGCGATCGATTGGGCGGGTGGACTTCCAACAGACACCTTTTTTACTGCTCAAAATAGAGACTCTCTTCTTCCTAGGTTTCTTCCCAGGGGCCCCCGAAGATCTTACGACAGGGGCAGTAGGGACAGCCTCTCTACAAAAAGGAACTTTATTCGACTCTCTGGAGGTCGACTTAGATCCTAAGTCTCTCTTTAAAGGAGTTCAACTCTACAGTGAGTTCTGAAATCCGGGCCTGTTCCCCACTCAGATCTTTTTTTTAGAAGGGCTTCGTTCTTATTTGAGGCACGAAGTCGATCCGCAAGTTCGAAGTTCCTCTGCCTCAGTGAGGAAACATCACCTTTTTCTTCGACTCTTTCAGAAAAGATCGAAATCACGTTCCTCAAAAGGACGATTCTGTCCCTAATAGCACCTGAAAATTTACCCTGGAGTTTGCGGCTTCTCAATCGCATACTCTCGATCTCGTCTAGCCACACTCCGGCCATACCGGCAATCTCAGCTGATGGCAAGGCTAAGAACTCCTCTTTATCCTTAAGTTTAGGATGAGCAGGTGTCTCCGGGCTGAAGTCCCTCTCGAGGTCCCGCCACATCGGGAGAACCCTCATTCAAAGAGATTATCAAAACGGGCCCGGCCAGGGCCCCCCCACGAGTGGTCCGACCACGCGAAACCTCCACCTCAGAAGGGGAAACTCTACGATCTTCCCTACGCCTGGCACGGGCCAGCGGTTCCGAGTCCGAACCTCCCTGATAATCCACCGGGGAATCCGGCGAGTCTCTCTTCCTTTTGGACACAGAGAAACTCGGAAGATGGACAATTGTACCGCTGGCAAGAGCATCCTCTACCTCTTTTGAGGGCACAACAGATGGGTCCCCTGGCGAGACGTTCAGATGTTCTTCAGATCCGAAGCAACTAACCATGTCGGCAGTGCCTAGTGTCTAAAGCAGTCCCAGATGACAAGGGTGCTGCAGATCCCCGTCCAGGGACACCCCCCCCCCTCCCAGGAGAACAAAACTCGCTCCTATAAAGACCGTCCAACCGGGGGGAAGCCAAAGGGTCCCCGTCCTCAGCGTCCTCCAAAGCCACACATGCAGTTTCGGCAGTAGCTATTTCCGTCGGGGCACCTGCCGGTCGTGTCCCAACGAACCCCTCGCTTGAGGCGCCCTCACCCAGGTCGTAACCAGCGGCCACAGGGAGCACGCACGACTGGGGGGAGACAGGGAGATCCCCCTCCAGCCGTCTCAGGTGGACCGAGTCACCCGGTGACGAAGTATGTTTAGTTGTACTCTCCATATTAGTACTAGACAGTACAACCATTTCCTTCTCCCTAAGCTCGTCGTCGACAGTAATTACAAACCACTAGGGTGTCTGCAGGTCGCGTCATAGTGGTCCCTTCACATGAGGCGCTCCCATTGAGACCATAGATAGACGGAGGGAAGACGCACGACCGGAGGGAGGCAGGATAACCTCTTCCAGGCCGACTCGGACAATTCAAAAGTCCGGAAAAGAACACTACCGGGAATCTAAAAAAAGATAGAGATCCCTCAAACAATACAACGGCAGAAAAAAATGAATAACTGAACGACAACTAATAAAATTTCAAGACAAAAACTCATAAGTAGGCATGTGTCAGGCAAAGAAATTGTAATAATAAATAAATAAGCAATAAATAAATAAATAAACACAACTCGTAATAAATAAAACACTAAAATGAACACAACTGGAACAACGCAACCCATCTCTCATCTCCTGCCGGAACACCGACGTACAATGGAGATGAGGGACGAAAAACGACCTAACCCCACACCCTAGCCTCCTGTCGGAGCACCGACGTGCAATGGAGACTAGGGGGGAAAAAACACGGTCCGGTGGGAGGAACG